TAGCTCACACGCCGAGCCTCCTGCACCCAGTAGCTCACACGCCGAGCTTCCTGCGTTGAGCAGCTCACACGCCGAGCCTCCTGCGTTGAGTAGCTCACACGCCGAGCCTCCTGCGTTGGGTAGCTCACACTGTTCTTGTCCCTTCAGCGGCTGCGAGACACCAGTCAGTATGTACGCGGGGAGCTGACTGCCCTGGAGAGAGAACAGAGACAGATCGACCGCCGAGCAGCTGTCGTCGAGAATAAATTACGCAGAATCATGGAAACTGGCAAGTGGTATCATCTTGTAGCAGAGATCAGGGACTCAAACGGGGGTTTGGTGACGTGTGTAACGGTGGGGAGGTAGAAGGATGGGGAGAGGGGAGAATGGAGTGAGCCAGAGATTGGAGGGAGGCAAGGGTCGGCCGGAAGGAAGTGTTGGGAAGTGGATAGAAAAATAGAAGCTAGGAGCAAGATTCGGTTCGATATCACTTTGGTAAAACTGACAAATCATTGGCAGAGCTGAGCAGTGAAGAGTCATTGTGAGTACAAATGGTCAACAAATGTCAGCCCCTCCCATAACTTGTGTAGATCAGTCATCACCTTGATTGTACGCCATGATTGTGAACGATAAGATAGGTCATTGAAACCCGCACACATCGACATTGAACTCGAGAATCAGTGCCTTTAGTGTAGGTTTTAGATCAGGAAGAAGCATTCTCACCACCTACTGAGGATACAGAGTGATCACCAGTGACCACCATGGCTGTTGTTGCCCAGCATTTGAAATGACTCAGCTACAGTTACCACGGCAAGAGCACTCGCCATGGGAACGACATTCCTTGGAGAAGGGACATCACTTCCTAGGGATGCACAAATACTTGAGGTTTTGGAGTAGATCTGTAGCTCAGGTTGTGGGTGTTGAGGTTGGTTGGCTCGCCGAGCTGGTTTGTTGTTCTGCAGACGTTTCGTTACCGTGCTGGGTAACGTTCTCAGTGCAGCCTCTGATGAAGTGTCGGTGTGTTTTCCTGCCTGGTTTTTAAACTCTGGGGTCCGTTGCCATGGATTGCCTCACTTCCGGATTTCCTCCGTAGTGGAATGTATATGGGGTCGAGTTCAATGTGTTTATTAATAGCCTGCTTCGTGGAGTGCAATGCTTCCAGGAATTCTCGTGCTTGTCTCTGCCTAGCCTGTCCCAGGGTCTTGGTGTTGTCCCAGTCGAAGTCGTGGTTCTCCTTGTCCATGTGGATTGAGATGAGTGAGTATTGGTCTTGTCTTTTTGTAGCCAGTTGGTGTTCATGTACCCTTGTCGTTAGTTTCCTTCCTGTTTGTCCGATGTAGTGTTTGTAGATGACATTGGTCCTGTCCATGGCAGGGAGTGGGTCTTTAGTTCGGGTGAGCACTTCTCGTAGGGTTGATGTGGGCTTTTGTGCCACTCTGATGCCCAGCGGTCGTAGAAGTCTTGTGGTGAGTTCTGACGTGTTCCTGATGTAGGGTAGTGTGATGAGTGTATCGGGGCGTGTAGAATCTTTCTGATGCTGCTCCTGTAGGCATCTCCTGAC